GATTGGCTGACTGGTTCTCAATCTTTGCTGTACATTAGAGCTTCCCGGGGAGCATTTGTCAGGCCATACCCTATAGTAATTAAATTGAAATCTCCCATGGTGGGATTCAAATATCAGCATTTGCAAAATTTCCCAGATTATTCTTATGTGCAGCCAAGTTTGAGAACCATGAGTTACAAGACTTCTAAGGTTCTTCCAGATGCCCTGTCCTCGGTCAACACCTGCATGTGAAGCCAGTGCTGCTGGAGTTTTGATTCTCCACATATTAACCTTTATAAAAGCCCCACACTCAACTTTCCTAGAGAAAGTCACTTCACTTTGGTTTGCTTAACAATGGTAATATTTAAAATCTATATAATGGTTTAAACTTATCATGCTCTTTCATGCTTTAAAGAAAGAGGAAGGACTAATGAAATAATAAAACTGTTCAAGTATCATTTAATTATTATTCTAGGTCTTGCTCTAAATCGGGGGTGGGGAACCTGCAGCCTTAAGGCCACATGTGGCCTTCTAGGTCCTTAAGTGCGGCCTTTTAACTGAATCCAAATTTTACAGAACAAATACTTTTATTTTTATTAATACATCTTATTTGTCTTTTATATTTTTATTTTATTTTTAAGATGAACATATTTAAAATACCAATGAATAAAATAAGTTTCAACAAAATAATCCTCCCAGATTGACGGGCACAATTAAAACATTATTAAGCCATAAGGGCTAAGTTGACAGCTGCTATGATCATGATTTAGTTCTAACTTTCCCCACCTGACTGGCACTACTACCTCACCAGGCTGGTTGCTGAAAGTTTATGGGGGTCAGATACGCCAGTGTTTTATCAGCTTTTGACAATGGTGCACTGTTTCTGTTTGAAGTGGAATTTGTGAGTAGTTGCTCAGCTCGACAGTATTTTTAATTCTATCTGCTTCACAGCCCATGATGTCAAAGAAGACCAAGAGGACACTGAAGGAAGAAAACAGATTTTTTAAATGAGGATTGGGAATTGCAATATTATTTTGTTTCTGCTAAAGATGATTTGCTTGCTTTGTGGTACTGCAATATGAACATTAAAGCAATTCAATTCTCATCAGCATTATAACACTCATAAACACCACAAATAATTTAAATTAGAGGAAAAGGTGCAAAAGGTTGTATTGCAGAAATTAAAAGATGAAAAGCAAAAGCAAAGATAATTCTTTCAAGCAGCAATAAGACCTGGAAATAATGCCACTGAAGCAACTTATAAAGTAGCTTATATACGTGGGGGGGAAAGGGAAGCCATTTAGTGATGTAGAAATTGTGAAAGAATGCACTGTTGAAGTTGTAGGATGCTTTGTCCCTGATGACGTTTCAAAGTACAAACAGTTGCCTCTTTCTAGGAGAACAATATGGATTGGCAGCATAAATTAGCCTTCAATTTAACAGAACAACTTCATGCAATACTTCAAAAGGAAAATATATATTATTCAATCACTTTGGATCAATCAACTGATACTACTGACTTGGTACAGGTTGACTTGGTGCAGAAGATTTTCTTTTCTATGAAGAGTTACTCACTTTGGGCACTCTCATGAACAGAACACGGGGAATAGATATCTTCAACAACTTTCAAGATAAATGTGAAGCTGGACTGAATTTGGTACATTTAGTGTATGTACAGATGGTGCACCTTCCATGACAGAAAAATATGGAGGGTTTATTGCACCTATTTTAAAAAGTGTTAACAGATCCAGATGCTTTCATTTCTTTTCATTGTATCTTGCATCAGCAAAATCTCTATGCTAAAGCTACCATTTTAAGTGACACTTTGCAACAAGTTATAAGTATTGTTAATTGTATTTGTGCAAATGCAACACAACATCAGTTTCATAACATGCTAAAGTTGAAGGATGAGGTATTCAGTGTGGATTTGCCATATCATTCTAAAGTGCATTGGCTATCACAGGGACAGGTGTTAGCCAAAATTTTATCTCTGTAAGAATAGATAGTTAAATTTTATGAAGAACAGAATCAGCAACATGAATAATTGAAAGAAAATTTCTACAGGAATGCAGCATTTCTGTGTGATATCATGTCAAAGCAAAATGACTTGAATATTTCTTTGCAAGGTAAAACTAAGTCTATATATGATATGCAGCAAAAAAAAATCCAAGCATTTTAAATAAAAGCTATCTTTTTTCAAAACACTTCTTCAAAGGGAAATCTTGGATGAACATTTTCCCCAGTTAGCAAAGGGCATTGATGAGCAGAATTATATACATGAATCATTTAAAGAATACACAGCTGTTAGAGACCTATTAACTGGAGAATACAGTGAAAGGTTCACAGACTTTGAGAATCATGACATCACACTAGCATTTCACCCTCACCTAGTTGATATCACCAAGGCATCTAAAGAACTACAGATGGAATTGATCAAGCTCTCAGTAGATGACATTTTAAAGTCATTGTTTAATGCTGAGAAAGATCCAATTGAAATATGGAAAAATGCAGTAGAATACCCATACCTTCGGCAACATGCCCAAAAAACGCTTTCTTGATTTTCAACCACCTATTGTTGCGAATCTATGTTTTCCTACCTAACCCAAATCAAGATGCCCTTAAGGTCACAAATGACTGATACCCATCGAGAGGATCAACTGAAATTGCGGACTTCCATGCTACAACCAAATATTCAAGTGCTTCCAACAAAAAGCAGATACAACAAAATCATTAAAAGATTAACTTTAAAATTAACAAATAGTTTTGATTTTTTGAAATTATTAAGTACACAGTAGTTAGATTTTTACAAAATAAGGTACATTTTTAAGTATATCTAATTCAAGTTTTTTGAATGTGGCCTTATTTGATTACAGCTAAATTAATGCGGGCTTCCAACATGAAAAGCTTCCTCATCCCAGATCTAAATGGTATCTTGGGTTCTGAAAAAAAAAAAAATTAATGTAATCTAGTCATCCAGCACTAAGCCTTCATTTGGTCTGAGGACTGTTACATTCCAGCTGGAGATAGAGAAGTGAATAGTCTCTTGCACTGGAGGAACTCCCAGTCTAAGGTGATAATAACAATAGTGATAATAATAACAAAAGTAGCAACCATGATTTGAAAATACTTATTGCACAACAGGCAATGTGACAGGTGCTTTTTATATATTATTTTAGATCGTCACAACATCCCGGCTAGGTAAGCATCATTTCCTTCATTTTATTTCTGAGGAAACTAAGGACCAGAGAGATTAGGTAACTTGCCAAGGTTGCACAGCTACGAAGTCTGCTATTCTGACCTATGTTTGTAAGTTTAGAAGCCCATGCTATTTCCACCATATCATAGCACCTCTAGAAGGAAAGGCTAGAGAAGAAATAGAGATAGAGATGGCAGGGAGAGGGTTAACTTTCATGGGGGAGAATCAGGCCCAGGGTGGAGGAATTGCTATGAATTGCTCACATTAAAAGTGTTATAAGAAAACAAATATTATAACTCTATATTTTAATCATGGTGTGTGCTAAATCCTGTTAGAAGACACAACACTGAAACAGATAAATTCATTATGAAGGGCTAATTCTTCTGCAGTGAGTCCCAGCTCCCTCAAATTAGTCTTCAAAAATAAACCATTGTGTTCCTCTGTGAACTGCATGGCTCAACAACGTCATCTTTTAGCCAGCACGAGCTCTTTGCTTCTAAGCAGATTTTCACTTTTGCTGACTGCCGTCAGTGACACAAAATGCACAAGCAGGAAAGGATGGTTGTGGGCACAGCTGCAACAATCCCTTTCTCTGTGGTGTTTGGATCCAAACACAGTATGAACCAGCACTCTCTGAAGACAGGCGCGCACGCGCGCGCGCGCACACACACACACACACACACACACACACACACACACACTATTCAAAATGAGTTAGGGTCTGGGGAACACATTATATTCATATACATATTAATTAACTCAGAAATCTAAACCTAAATTTATTATTTGAGAAACCCACTGGGCTAAAATAATTCACCTTTGAAGCCAGATATAGCTTGAGGGGTATTAAACACACTATGGCCTAGAGCAGGAAAAGGGAAAAAGAAAGAAGCAATAAATTTTCTTAATGAGCTTTTCACAAACCACCATTTCATGTTGTTGCCAAAACAAGTGAAATCACCAAAGGAACTTAGGATCTTAAAGAATATCAGAGACTGTAGAAAGTGGCATAGACAGCAGATATTTTTAAAAAGATTCTAATACTGCATTTACAAAATGGACATTTCCTGTATATACATAGAAAATATTTAAAATTACATAAAGGATTACATACACATGTATATACACACCCTGCATAGGCGAAATGTACATAGTAGACTGTATGGTTAAATATATGATATTATAAGGATGAGTCGATTTCACAGCAATCTTTTCATATGGAAAATTACCTCCACTCCGGAAATTATGAGTAAGGAGGATAAACCCTTCATTGCAAATCATAACAGAGTGATAAGTCACTACCCAGCCTGGGATGACAGACTGTATCAACACAACGTAAATATGGGCAACATCTATTCCTGAAGGGAATCACGAGATGCTTAGGAAGCTATCACAATGAGATACTGGGTTAATAGCCTGCAAAGACACATGTGATGTGTTCTTCTATTACTTACTCTAATATTTCTTAATGATTTGAAGAAAAACTGAGAGTAGAGATGACACTATCTGAAATAGTTCGTGTGCCTGAGACCCAATTTTTAAAATTTGTAAGTAGGAATACTTCAACAAGCAGGCAGACCATAAGCTTATTTCTCTCTTTCACATGCTTATCAAATTAGAAGTGAACAGTTAGAACAGGTTTGTTTTCTAGGTGAGATTCTCTTTCCACATCCTACAAAGCAAACACTCACACACACACACACACACACACACACACACACACACACACACACACTCCTCTCTCTCTCTCTCCATACAACTGTAAATCCCTGCCGTTGGACTAAGGAGGCTAAGAACAGAAGAATGTGTTAAAGCAGTATTTTACCTCTTTGCTGATCAAACACAGATGGGGTGCTGAAATCCATGGTTGCCTGTCTCATCATTTATCATCAGACTGGCAAAAAGCATCCAGGTCTCTGGAGAGAAGAAAATACCATCTCACGCGTTACAGTCAACACAACAGTCAGATATAGCATCGCTTGCCAAGATCTCTGAGAATTAAACGTGCATTAGAGCTGCAAGTTGTTGTCAAGGCAAATGATGAAAGTAGGTAAATGCTATTCCTGTAAATACTTGCTAGGAAAAGGGTTACTCTATGGCTTCATTCATCAGCTATGCTTGTGTGTAAGTATTATAACCCCTCCACCCCCAAACAAATAAACAAAATGCCTCAAAACCTAAAAAACGGTATTCATGGGGGCCACCTGCCTTGGATCTGGGCTGGGAACACACAGCAGGTCACCGAGCTTCTGCAGCTGGAATGTTGCTTTAAACAAACAGAAACCTCAATGGGTGAGTGAGGATTCACGGGCCAGACAGAGCATGTGCAGAGCTGCCAATGCAGTTTGCATTCAGCTGTGCTCCTGGTGGAGTGAGAGCTGCATTTGGGTCATGTGAGCAGACGGTGCCATCTCAATGGAACAGGACGTAAATATTGTAGCAGAAGGCTGCTGGCCACGTGCTGTGCGGAGTAATTATCCACTTCTGCAGTCTCCTCTTCTTCAGACCCCTTCAGCGCCCTTCTTGGACTGACAGGGAGGATGGGGGAAAACATCTCATTTGAAAGGTTACATTTCAAGGCTCAAGTTTCTGTGACGATAAAATTAAAACAGTCTGCAGTCACAGGGTGTTTATTGCAGTATTATATGTGGTGAAACCTGAAAAATCACCTAAATGTACAACATTTGAGAAGCAGTTGAATAGTAGTAAATTTATCCTCTAGATTAAAAAATCTGAGATAAATAAATCTATGAGTATTATTCTGGTGGAATGCCACTAATCTATTGTTAAATGAAACAAACAAGTTATATATTTCACTGGTTCACATTTTTATAAAACCAGCAACCACCCACTGTATATGTAAATATAATATGTTTATATATGTTCAAAGGAACCCTGAAAAAGATGTAGAAAGATACATACTTAACTGTTAATATTGGTTACTTCAGGGGATTGCAATTAAAGTGTGAGATTTCTAACTGTTCTTTATCAATCTCTGATGTTTTGGCTTATTATAATAGTTATCTATTATTTTATATTTGTGATAAAAATATAATACAATAAATTCAAACAAAGCTCTGCATTCTAGATATGACCAGATTTTTGGATAAGCCAAGCAGCCATGTAGTAGATGCTCTCATAAATGCTATTGATAATAATAATAACTTTTCTTTTTAAAATTAATGAGTGTGCAATGTGGAAATAAAAGCAAAAACCATTTTTCTCTGTATATGACATTTGTTTTGATATAGACTGATCTAATGTATAATTTGTGGTTTTAATAGGCAGGCTCCTTACTTATCTCCTGCCTCGTATTTCCTCAGTGCCCATCATTTATTTTCCATCGACAAATTGGTGGGCCTCCCTTCTCTGTGACAATACTGCTCTCACTCAAAATGCCATTACCCACCCTCCCTTCCCACGTCAGCCCCTCCCCTCAAAATATCCTGTGTTCTTTTTATTTAAAAACAGAAGCAGAACATATATCTTATAAATCATTACTCAAAACCTGCTCCATAGGTAAATTTCTTAAATTTCCCAACCCCATTTCTTGCATTAACCATGAGCGCCAAGTGGGGGCACTGAAAGTGGTTTGAGGAGGAAGCTGAGAATTGTACTAGCTGATCCTCTGCGCTTGTCTAAATGACCGAGGTAAAAGGAGTATTTGCCACTCAGTCCCAAACAGGAGAAAAACAAAGGCGGACTTCTCTTTCATTCATTTGATCATGAATCATCTGTTGCTATGGAAGGAGCACTGTGCTCCCATCATTTCTACAGGCACTGGCGATGCAGCTGTGAGCAAGACAGGCAGGTCCCTACGCTCAGTGAGTTTGCACTCTTGTGTGAAACTTCTGCCTCTGATCATGCTGGAGAAATAGGGACTGTACTCACCCTCCTGCCTTAAAAAAACTAAAAAACTGGGCAAAATAACTGAAATGATGCTTTCCAGGCAGCACAGGACAGTGGTCACTGGGAGAAGAAAAACAAATGGGGTCAGAGTAAGGAGTGCCCAGCTCACTTCCTGGGGAGTGTTCCCAGGCCACAGGGCATGGAGGGGATAGTGGGCTGAATGCTTTGTGGAAGGGTCACAAAAGACATGCATGTTGTAATCTCCATAACTCATGAATATGACCTTATTTGGAAAAGGGGTCTTTGCAGATATAATTAAGGATCTCAAGTTGAAATCATCCCAGGTTATCTGGATGAGCCCTAAATCCAACGACAAGTGTCCTTATAAGAGACACACAGAGGAGACTCACAGAGAGAAGGGGAGGGGCTGTGTGGCATGGAGGCAGAGATGGGAACGATGCAGCCACAAGCCAAGGAGCACTTGCAGCCACCAGAAGCTGGAAGAGACAAGACACAGGTAGTCCCCTAGAGTTTTTGGAGGGAGCAAGGACCTGTCAACACCTTGATTTCAAACTTCTACACTCCAGAACGATGAGAGAACAAATTTCTGTTGTTTAAGCCACCAAATTTGTGATAATTTGTTACAGCAGCTCCAGGAAACTCTCAAAATAAATGCCCCCCTCTAACACTGTTACATTTCTGTGTTTATATCATTAAGCAAATTAAAATATACAGCCATTTTCATGTTTGTAAAAGGGCTGCTTTGGGCTCCTTTAGAAGAAAAGCAGTCAAACAGAATAAAAAGGGCATGAGCTGGAGTTTGTTTCTGTTAGGTGTCTGATTAGGACAAATTTCATAACTTTTTGAGCCTCAGCATCTTAACATATGGCGTGGAGCTCCAGCCCCTAACTTCTTGTGAGAGTTGCCTCTTGTTATCAGTCAGTCCACTTCTTGGGCTGCAAACACAGAGATAGTTCTTTCTATATAACCAAAGCCCAGCGTAAGATAACATTTGGTTATTTCTTCAAGTGCATTTTGATTAAAGCACTTATTCACACCTCCCAGGTGCTTTTTATCTATAATATAGGAGGGCAAGAGAGGACATGGTCTGCATGACCATGCAAAATCTGGCTCTTTCCTTCTCCTCCAGTCTATTCCTCCCCATCTCCCTTCCCTTTTCAACGTCCGGCCATGCTGGTCTCTTCTGTGCCATGCCCTTTCCTACCCCCACCCAAAGACTTTGCTATTCTGTCCCTCTACTTGGAATGTTCTTGTCCCAGCTCCAATGCCACCATATTAGAGAGGCCCTCCCTGACCACATTATCCACTCTTATACCCCATTAGTCACTTCCTTCTCCAGAGTGCTACTTTGTGAATTTACAATGAGAAATAGTCCTGCCAGGGAGACAGGGCCTTTGCGCATGTTGTGACAACTGTCTAGTTCAGTGCTTCTCAGACTATCTGTGGTGAAGGGCTAGGTTTTTAAATTTCCAAATCATCATGGGTCCATGCATTCTTAAAATATGATACAAATTAATAGTAGAAGCATAAAAAAAAAAGGACAGAAAATGCAAGCTTTGATTTTTATTATTAAATTCAACAGGCATAATATTACATGTCAATAGATATAATCAGAACAAACGTAGGCTAAAAAAGAACTACAAAAGCTGTACACATTGTTCATTGAAAATGCGTTTAGGTATTAGTGATCTGTGCTGTCCAATACAAAATAGCCACTAGCCACATGTGTCCATTTAAATTTAAATTAATTAAAGTTAAATAAAACTAAAAATTCAATTCCTCAATCACAGTAGCCACTGTGATTTTACTTTGTCATAATTAAAAACTTTTGCTCTTTGAGAGATGCTAGTAAGAAATGAAAACACAAGTCACAGACGGGGAGTAGATATTTGTAAAACACAAAGCTGATAAAGGATTTGCACCCAGAGTATGTAAAGAATTGTCAAAATTTAATGATAAAACAAACAACCCAATTTTAAAAAGAGTAAATATTTGAACCAACAGATCACCAAAGGAGAGACACAGAAGTTAAATAAACATATGAAAAAATGCTCTGCGTCGTTAGTCATTAGGAAAATTTAAGTTAAACTAAGGTCATTTACCATGTGCTGGTGAAGATGCTAGGACTCTCATACACTGCTGATGGAAATGGAAAATAGTTTTGCAGTTTCTCATAAAGTTCAACAGAAATATGGCCAAGCAATACAACTACCAGGTATTTACTTAAGAGAACTGAAGACATATGTTTACACAGACACCTGTATGTGAATGTTTATAGCAGCTTTATTATTGCAAAAAACTGAAAACAACCCAAATGTTCATCAACTGCTGAATGGATAAATAAACTGTGGTACATCTATATGATGGAATACCAGTCAGCAATAAAAAAGGAATGAACTACTGATATATGCAATTAATGGATGAATCTTTAATATATTATGCTGAGTTAAAAAAGCCAGACACAAAAGGTTACAAACTGCATGAGTCCATCTATAAGGCATTCTGGCAAAAACTATAGAGACAGATGCATGCTTTCCAGCAGGAGGGAATGGACTATAAAGGCGCAGGACAGAACTTTCGGAGTGATAGAAATATTCTGTATCTTGATAATGGTGATGGTTACATACCCTGCATTCATTTGTCAAACTCATAGAACTAGACACCTTAAAAGGGTGCATGTTACTAAATATAAATCATACCTCAATAAAACTGAAAGAATCAACAATATAAATCTTAATTCTATATGTTAACTAATAATGTGAACCTAAATTTTAAAATAGGTTTGTTAAAAATTAAAATGATTGAAACTAGCAGTTTTTAAAAATAAATAGATGCTTACTTTTCTCAGGAATTTTTATACTTTTAGAGTATAGAAGACAAACTAACCTCAAAATATCACATATTGAATACTATCCTACTATACATGACTTTCCATGCAGGTTTGACAACACCCAAACTGGTCTATACCAGGTTCAGTGTGACGAGTTGGCCATCACAGGCTTGAAGGTGCGGC